CAATATGCCTTCAAGGATGGCCAGGGACTTCATCAAATGATTACATTCAAAATCTACCAAACCATCAGTAGATTGGGAAATAAAGGCAATTTGGAGTAAATTCTCCTGAACCTTTTGTGATTCCTAGTGACGTGTTCAGAATGCTGGTTCAATGTATACTAAACCCATAGGTGGTCAGACTCTGCCTTCTGGAAAATTCAGATAATGTTATCTACATTAGATTTCCTGGCGTGCATTTTCCCTCTTTTCTGTGATTTCTCTTAAAAATGCCTTCCTGTTTCCACGCTCCCTTCTGTATGTCGCCTCAGTTTGCAGGGTGGTGGTTTGTGTGATGACAATCCTCCCTCTGCCTATTCCTGCAGAGCTAGTGTGTGCTGTGAGCCGTCATCTAGCCCTGTCTGCCCCCCCAGAGATGACAGTTGGGGGCCTCAGTACGCAGATTTCACTGCACGAGCCCTCTGGAAGAGAATGCCCGGGAGGGTTTGGCATCCTGCACTTGGCATCCCCAGGGGTGGTTCTCAAGGGCATGTGGGTGACCTTCAGGAAGAGGCCCCCTGGCGTGTAGCCCACTGCCATGTCTCTTGCTGAGCACCCAAGCCCAGCACAAGTGACACCAGTTTTGGATTTTTGAGCACATGAGTTCATCATTGTTGCCCTGATGATGAGAAATATCTTTATTCAGAGAAATATGACATGGCAACAGCTTCACAGTTACTCGTTGATTTAAGTGACTCGTTAAGTCACTTCTGACATTCGCAGAAACAGAATAAAATTCTCTGTCCTATCCTTGCCTCTCAGGATAAACTACTAAAGCGGGTTTGCTGGAAAGATTCTTTCCATAACATTCTAGGTACTTACAAAGCTGAATGGGAAATAGGCAAAGTATTTGAAAATGTTTTCTCTCTAGTTATTTTCATCACTGGTCAGGTATTTATAACATCTTTCTCTCAGTATGACGCGAAATTGGGTACTTGCCACATGAGAAGAGAAAGCTCTCCTCTATTCAAGATGGGAAGGACGGGTCCTCCAGACCTCTACCTGGAATAAACTTAACACATAATCACATTTGTGCACTAGACCTTTCCTCCTGTATAATTTCACCTTGTCTCTCTTTTAATATAATCAGCCCTAAAACTTAAGTCAGTTGGATTATCGAACAACTCATAGCACTTCTCACCCTGTTCTTCAGGCAATTCCTTGACTATTCTTAATTTTTGCTTTTGCATATAAGTTTAAGAAGCAGCTTAAGTTCCACAAGACCAAAAAACGACAGCCTCCTTGGGATTTTGATTAGATCCTGTTACCCCTTTTTGGAGATAGACAAACTGAGATTCAGAAAGGTCAATTTGCCCAGAGATACACAACCAGTAAGGGACGGGGCTTCAAAGTCAGGGAGTTGAACTCCCAAGCTCAGCTCGAACACAACACCGGTCTAGCAAAGGGGACCTGAGGACCTTTGTGGGGGTTAATAACCCAAGACCCCAAACAAAGCAAGGTTTGTCTGCCTGATTCCTCCTAAGGCTCGTCTGTCTGTCTGCGATTCCCTCTTAGACATCCCCGATCTGGTGTTAGACCCTGGTTCGTGCAGGACTAGTGAGGGTTTTAACTCAGGGCATGATGAGGGCGGTCCTTGAAATTTTACAAGGAAAAAAAAAATGTAATGCCCGAATTTCCGTAATTCCCTAATACTGCACTAGTGACTGAGGAGGGCGGCATTTAATCCCTTGCATCTCCCATGTCAGTTGACTTCCTTTTCTTAGTGTCAGGTCAGCAAAGCCAAGGGTTTGCCAACTATTTTATAAATGCCAGACCCCAGAAACCTAGTGAAGAATCCAATTTTGTCTGGACACATTGTCTCGAAGGTATGAGCAGCTAGTCCAGGGTCAGTGAATAAGCTTGCATGCATATTCAACATCAGACCAAAGCTGCTGCCGAGCTGCAAACCAGCACAAATCACTCCTTTTTGTGTGGCTCCCAGAGTCCAGTGCGTGGAGGGTGAGCTGCCAGCTTAATGCCTGTTCCTTATGGGAGACTGGGGCGCCGGAACTAAGTACACGGCATTTCCATGGACATTTCCAGGTTGTAAAACTACTTACCGTGTTTCCTTGAAAATAAGACAGGGTCTTATGTTTATTTTTCCTCAAGAAGACACCCTAGGGCTTATTTTCAGGGGATGTGTTATTTTTTTTAAGTACGGCACAACAATCTACATTTATTCAAATATATAGTTAAGTCGTCGTCTTCCGGAACATCATCATTACTCTCCAAACCCCGAATTCCATCCTGAATTTCTTGCGACTCTATTTCCTTTAGCATCATTGGCCCCAATCTCTCATGTCGAGCGATAGAGCTCTCATGGGGCGGATGAGGAGGGCTGCTCGTCTTCTTTCCGGCTCCGCGACGAAAAGCATGGGTTGTGCAGATGCGCTGCGTAGCCACGACCCATCACTAGGGCTTATTTTTGGGGTAAGGCTTCTATTGCACAAATGCTTAGAAATCCTGCTAGGGCTTATTTTATGGGTAGGTCTTATTTTCGGGGAAACACAGCAAGGAGTTTCACAACCTGGAAATGTCTGTGGAAATGCCGTGTGGGGAAGGCCAGAGATGTGATTCAGACCTGCAGGCCTTGCATGGGTGCCAGAGAGCAGACCTTCTGGGGCCTGAAGAATGGGGTGTCTCAGCTAAGCTCAGCTGATTTCAGAGAAATAGGGCCAAGGGGTCCCATTCCTCTCCTATCAGAAATGCGTAGGAATCTCACAGACATGCACCTGCCTTCTAGATGCGCCAGTGGGAACCTGCCTCCCTCTGACTGTCCTCATGCCTGGGACCATCCTCAGAACCACCCAGATGACACAGGAGCGAGTTCCATTTTATGCTCCTCTCTGAGCATAATTTGCAGTTATGAACTTCACGAGGGGCTGCGCTGTCTTTTGCCCTTGGTGTGACTTCAGGACTGCTCTGCCAACAGGAGTTCTGAGTGCGGGAGAACCTCTCCCCATGCCTCGGGCAGAACAGGGGAAAGAGTTAAGGCTGAGCCCCGAAGTCAGGCATCCAGTGTGTCAGCCTTAGGCAAGTCAGCTAACCTAGCAGTTTTTTTTTTGGTTTTTTTTTGAGACAGAGTCTCACTCTGTTGCCCTGGCTAGAGTGCCGTGATGTAAGCCTAGCTCACAGCAACCTCAAACTGCTGGGCTCAAGAAATCCTCCTGCCTCAGCCTCCCGAGTAGCTGGGACTACAGGCATGCACCACCATGCCCAGCTAATTTTCTTTCTGTTTTTGGTAGAAACAGGGTCTCTCTCTTGCTCAGGCTGGTCTCGAACTTCTGAGCTCAAACGATCCTCTTGCCTCTGCCTCTCAGAGTGCTAGGATTACAGGCAGGAGCCACTGTGCCCAGTCTGTCTCAGTTTCTTATTCTGAAAAGTGGGATAATAATACTCATCTCATGGTATTCATGGGAGCCTTAAAAATGGGATAATACATCTGAAACTATTGCAGATGCTCCTTGCTTTATGATGGAGTTACATCCTGATAAACCCACTGTAAATTGAAAATATTGTAAGTGGAAAATGCATCACTCCACCGACCTTCCGTAGCTTAGCTTAGCCTGACTGAAATGTGCTCAGAGCACCTACACTAGCGTCCAGTTGGGTAAAATCATCTAACGCAAAGCCTATTGCATAATAAAGTGCTGAATATCTCCCGTAATTCACTGAATACCGAGCGTGAAAAACAGAATGGTCATGTGTGTACACGGAGCTTCCGCCACGTCCACGCCACTTTTGCACCCTCGTAAAGTTGAAAATCTGAACCATTATAAGTCGGGGTGTGGCTATAGACAGGTGGTTCTTTTTGCTAGCGTTATTAATAAAGAGAGTAAGGAATCTAGGGTCCCTTAGTCCTTACTGCCAGAGCTTCCTTCGTCCTGCAGTGTGGGCTCTCCCTGGGGCGTTCGTGAGGCTCTTCCGCTGCCGGGGCAGCAGGTGTGCCACCCTTCGGCTTGCTGTGCCATCGGAGTGTTTGAGACTCCCGCTTTCGCCTATTTTCTCAAAGAAAACCGTTTACTTCCCGAGCCATAAAGTCATTTCATTGTTCCCTTTGGATCTGGGGAGACGGATGTAGGACTGTGAGTGCGGTCGCTGTGTGTGTGTGCGTAGAGTTTCTTTCTGATGTCAGGAGCGTGGGGGTGGCGGGCCAGGGAGCAGTGGGGTCGTTTTCTTACCTGCATAGTTAATTCGTGTGTGTGCTGATACCCGCAAAGTTCAGCCCTTGTCTACCTTCGTTAAATCATCCTACAAATATTTTTTAAAAATCAAGCTCCCACCACGTGCCCGTGACGCTTCTAAGGTGCTAGGGGGGCGGCGCTCTTCGAGGTAGTCGTGGTCCTAGGGAGGCTGGCAGAGTAGAGGAGGGAAGTCAGCAAGAGCAGTAGCGGAGCGTGGTAGATGCCCTACTAGTGCAGGCAGCTCGGGGACTGGGGCCCACCCCACACCTGTCCCCGCCCCGCCCGCCCAGGGCAGGCTGCAGTTCAGGGCAGTCCTGTGGGAAGTGAGGGCGAAGCTGGGGTCTGAAGGATGAGAGCAAGTGGAGGGAGATGAGACGGGACTCGGGCCAAGGTGGCCGCAGGAGGCAGGGCCCTGTCCTGTGAGTCCAGCCACAAGGGTGGGGCCGTGGCTCCCGGCTGGCTCAGCCGCGGCTCCCTCCATGGGGGAGGCTGTAGAACCCTGGCCAAGCGTGTCACCTTCCAGGCCTCAACTTCCCCATCTGCCACAGAAGTACCCACCTTTGAGGGTGCTGGGAAAATTAAAGGACTATTTGTAAAGGGCTTAGACCGTGCCCAACAGGAAGTAAGCACTATATATCAATGTTTGCTAAACAAAAATAAATCAACTTGTGTACGGTGAGTTTAACCTCAAGTGTATGTTTGTCTTTGAAGAACATTTTTTTCTCGACTATAAAAGCATATCATGTTCTTGCTAATGCTTAATATTCGTTTGTGTTTTAGACAATTTCCTGAGTCCTGGAGCTTTCTTCCTTCTGGAATTATCCTACTGCGGGTATTTATTTATTTTTGAATAAAGGCGGCCGCACATCATGGACCTCGTTGGATTGCTGAAGTCTCAGTTCCTATGCCACCTGGTCTTCTGCTACGTGTTCATCGCCTCGGGCCTGATCATCAACACCATCCAGCTCTGCACGCTCGTGCTCTGGCCCATCAACAAGCAGCTCTTCAGGAAGATCAACTGCAGGCTGTCCTATTGCATCTCAAGCCGTAAGATACTCACTCACAATCCTGTATTTGCATCTTCCCTGGGGATGTGCGTATCAGAGTTATGGCTCTGGATAGGGGTTCGCTGGGCTTGCGCTGTGTGCTAAGCTGTTTCTTTGGTTTCCCTTGTTTTATATTTGAAATGGCTATTTTTGTCCTTGTTCCTCAAAAATTATTTTTGAATGAGTAATGCCAATAGCACAAAACCCAGCAGGCACAGAGGGTATACTGTAAAAAGTTAACGTGCATTCTGTCACTGTTTCTCTAGTTTTCCTCCTCAGAAGCGATCAGTATTAATGATTTCTTGTCATCCTTACAGAAATAGTGTCTATATATATGTGGCTCTTATGCATGTACATGTATGTGTGTGAATCTTTGTGTACACATACATGATACATGTATTTTTTTAGAAAACGAAATGGGAATATACTATTCTCTTGTTATTTTTTTCCTTCAACTTTTTATTTTGAGATAATTGTGGATTTACATGCAGTTGTAAGAAATAATGCAGAGAAATCCCATATTCTCTTCAGCAAGTTTCCCCGTGGTAGCAAATCACATAGCTGAAGTACAATATTCCAACCCGAAAATTTCCATTGGTGCGATCCACCAGCCCTACTCAGATCTCTACTCTTCTACGCACTCATTTGTGTGCGTCTGTGTGTGTGTGTGTGTGTTTGATTATGCTAGGCTATTTTAAGCATGACTAATTCAACCGGCCTGAGTTTCAACAATTAAAAGAGATGAAACATGTCTCTCCCTGCCTTTCTTCTCTTCAATCCTCCCACCGCCATTTCCAACAGAGTGTCCTGTCATCTCTAAACCCAGAGAAGAATAGCTGTAGTTGTTATTCCTAGAGTGACATCCTAGAGTGACAGAGCGAGTGGTTCCTGCATGTCCAGGTACCCAGTCCTGTAAAAACAGCCCAGGCAGAGGTGTCTGTTTCTCAGCCACCATTGGTTCAAGGGTTATTTTCAAATAGATGGTGCCTCAAACCACCAAAAGAGAGAAAAAAAATGAGATCAGTGTATTCTGATGTTTTAGAGATGTGTTTTGTTGTTGCTGATGATTAACCTTTAGTCTATACCTACTCTCAAAAGCAGAGGACACAGTGTATCATTAGCAATCATATATATGGGTATGATTAGATTTCAAAATATGAGCTCTTTCAAATTAAGTAATTAAAAAACTCTCAGCTACCTTAGATTTAGATTATGCCAAGAATACAAAATTATCAATCTTTTTTTTTGGGGGGAGGGGGGGATGGAGTCTCATTCTGTACCTGGGCTAAAGGGCTGTGGTGTCAGCCTAGCTCACAGCAACCTCAAACTCCTGGCTCAAGTGATTCTCCTGCCTCAGCCTCCCCAGTAGCTGGGACTACAGGTGTGTGCCACCACACCCAGCTAATTTTTGTATTTTTTGTAGAGATGGGGGTCTTGCTCTTGATCAGGCTGGTCTTGAACTCCAGACCTCAAGCGATCCTCCTGCCTTGGCCTCCCAGAGTGCTAGGATTACAGGCGTGAGCCACCACACCCGGCCCAAAATTATTAATATATTTTTGATGCCCTTTAAATAAACCAATCAAATTTGAATTTCCGTCAAAATACAAGCTATGTACAATTATCCAAATGGGTTACTGCTGAGCCCGTCAGTTCTTGTTAAACTTCAAAATACTTGTGAGAGGAAAAAGTGACATTGTTCTTCATGATTTCTTTCACCAATTCAGAAGTTGCAAATATTTCTGATACTGTTTCTTACATGGCTTGAGTGCAAGACCTACTGTATCTTATATTAGAATGCTTTGCATAAATGTCTTGAAAATTTTCATAAGATTATGAAGCTGAGTTACAATTGTAAAACAGTATCTTTACTCTACCTGTCTGTGGCCTGTTGGGTACAGCCACCAATGCAGTCCAGTACTATGTGAGGTACTTTTCCTTGTCATGCACTTTAACATTCGTCTCCTAGTGTTTAGCCTCTTCAGGGGTATAGAAAAAGGAAAAATGTGTCAGAACAGATTGGAAGAGAGAGGAGTTTGAATAATTGAGGGAAAGGAGATAGTTGACTGAGATTTACCTTATCATTTTAACCGTCTTTTGACCCTCCAGCAGTAGGTTTCTGTTTCAGCAGAATTTAAATTTAACAAAGCAGTGCTGATTGCGCTTTTCATTGAAAACTGCATTTATATGATAATTTGCATGCACCTATGGAGGTTCCACAATCTGTCGGTTTGCAATGTGAAATCCTGTACGTTTCTAGTCGTAACCCCTATCCAAATTTCCAGCAGAATGTTAAGAATCAGGCTTCTCACGTGGAGTTAGGAAGCAGGAAATAAGATTCGGGGTCGGAGTTCCTGAGAGTACTGTAATTTGGTTTTGGTTGGTGGTGGAGACACACCAAGGCGATGTCAGGATCACGTAGATATTTTTCCGAGGATGTTTTAGCCAGCTCGTCTCTGGTGGAAATTGAGACGTGTAACAAATTCATAAAGCAAGGTGGACTTTTTACCCATCACAAATTGAATTATTTAGAACAAACTCCAAATGAAACTTAATAATTACCCGCCCAAGACAACCGGCGTCTCAGCGCATCACGCGCGAAGGGCGAGCAGTCTAGCTTTACTGAAAGACCCAGAAGCACCTCCCTCCAGGGGCCTCCCACGGTGATCTGTCCCCGAGGAGGGAAGCTTCCGTGGGTCTGGCTGTAGCAGAGACATTTCATCACGATGTGGAGGGGGAAGGGAGGATTTCTCCCTCTAGGAGAGCAGTCCTGGCTCGTGGAAGCAGAGAACGTGGTAGAAGGGGAGGCTGAGCCATCCTGGGGTGGCTCACAGGCACCACATTGCCATGCATCTGTCCACATTCGGGACCGCGTCTACCCTCACCGGATTCTCCATTCGTGGTCTCCCGGGAGGTGTTGGGTAGCAGAGCTGTTCTCTTCTTCTCTTTACGATACTTGCTCTAGGTAATTGACAGAGTTCCTCACAGCCTGAGCTGTTCCACAACAACCAAAGACATGTGACAAGACAGAATATTCTGGAAGCTCTGCCGGGCCACCGACCACCTGCAGGTGATGGTTTGTGGCAAGCTGGCAGCGTGCATGGGAGACGGCGACGCAGCTTCCTCGTGCCTTAACTCTCCTCCTCTCTCTCCAAGCTCAGACAGAAACTGCTCGTGGGTTTAATTGTGTCTTCTGGCATATGAATCATGCTAAGCTTAGGAAATCAGCAGCATTCATCATTTGCAGCTGATTTTCTAAGGAAGAGGCAGGAAAAAATTGTTTCCCCGAGACACAGCCCCTCCATCACCCTGCTCGCTTTTTACCAACAGAACTGTGTCATCGTCCATTTTTAATTAAATATTTGTTAAGAGCTGGGTGTCGTACCCAGCGAGTTCAAAGCGGTCACCAGCCCTGGCGTGGTGAAGCGCTCGTGCAAAAGGCCACAGCGACACAAATGACAAACGAGACAAAACGCAGTGAAGACAGCTTGGGTACCAGCAGGCCCCGCTGAGCAGAGAATTTCAGTCGACTGGCAAGGACCCGCCTCACGAATAGCAACCGGAAAGTGACTTAATCTAGACGGCAGGTTTTAGGGGGTTGCTTTGTCTTATTTTTGCCAGGTTTTAGGCAGGGAAGGCCAAGTCTGGCTGGCTTAGCAGGCTGCTCGAGGAGGAGAGGGTGGGCCAGTGTCATCTTTAAGGTGAAAAGAAGGAAGAAAGTTAGAAGAAGGGGGCGAAGGGTAGAATTTTATTACATTTCCACTGTGCAGGATATGCCTGTTAATCTCTAGGGAAAGGTGGCCACGACTGGCTGTTTTTTTCTTCCCCCTCTGACATTGTGGGTTTAAAAAAACAGAAAGATTAGGAGAACAACCTATTAATGTCAAGGTCTAAAAAATAAAAAAATAAAATGGGGGGGGGCGCCTGGGGGTGAGGCTGACTGCAGATGCCCTCAGGGCCCTGGAGAGGGCTGGTGAAACCAAACAAAACAGAAACAGAGACGCCCCCTGCACACGGCCCCCGGCCCCCCGACCCCGGCCCCCCGGCCCTCTGCCGATTCCCTGCTGCTGCCTACCGTAAGTTCTGCCAGTTTGAGCCGCCACCCCGTCTTCCTGGACCGGGAGGAGGCTCCTGGTTTTGGACAGCTGTCTGAAGCACAGCTCCACGTGGTTCCTGTCATGGGCAAGGCCACGGGGCGTTGGTGGGGAGTCAGAATTAAACACCTCCCCCTCCTGCTGAAGGCTGTGTCACCTCCCAAGAGCCACACAGACTCTGAGTCTGAGTGACAGGACTGATCACAATGACTGGGTGGAAAAGCAGCACGAGGTGTTGCATGACAGAGTGATGTGTGGGCCGCTCACAGCACATCAAATTACGGGTGGAGATCGGGACGTGGGTCTGTTGGGGGAGGGGCGCGGGGAGGGTGGGCACGGGGGTCTTGTCTGTCTGCCCACTGTGGTTTGTTCTTTGGGGTGGGAACTGTAAAAGCTCAACTAAATAAAGGGAATGGAATAGAATAGACCCAGATTCCAATATTTTCCTAACACAGGGCTTAGATCATTGTTTTGGCTCTCGGGAAGCTGTTTACCTTCCTTTTCAGCCCTCCACGCCCCACCAGGTTATTTGCCCTGTGTGCGTAGGGTGGGCTGGCAGAGGCGAGCAGGGGGGAAATGGGGTGTGCACCTCACTCACACGACCACGGCCGGTGCCCTGCCCTGGAGCAGATGCGGAGTCCGCTGTAATGGTATCAGCGTTTGTAGCGTACGTCCAGATGTTCCAGTCACTGCAGATTTGTCACCTGAGAAGGACTGGGCAGCGGCCAGCAGGCCCGGCAGAAGTTGGTCTGCGATCCCATCTGGAAGGGACATCGGGGCGTGGTGACGCTTGCTTCGGGAGCAGGAGGGGAAGGGAGGAAACTGCGTAGCGTAGCCCCGTTCCTGGGAGTCAGGTCTGTTCTCCCGAGAGAGGCAGGGGCTGGCTGTTGAGAGCAGTCTGTCTCCCGGC